ATATTAATGGGTGGTCATGGTTTGTCACTTCTATAGCTCTTATGAAAAAAAAAAAAAATTTATTCAATGTCCAAATTTAGAATTAATGAATTATAAGTTTTCAAGGTGATATGTAATTAATGTATTGTTTTCTTTTAAAATTATTAATTTGTCTTAGTTTAAGGGCTAGTTTGGTATGAAGAAATGAAATAAGATAGGAATGAAATGAACTAGGGAATGAAATGAGAACCCATTCATTCGTTTGGTCATGACTTAAGAAGGAAAATTAAACGTAAATATATATTTTCGATGTATATTTGGAAATTAAAGAAGAAATATCAAGAAAAAATTGACTTTTGTTGGATCTCCTAAGTAAAGCCATTTTTAATGTTATTTTGGGCGAATTACAAAAAAAAACCCTTGACTATTACCCATTTGTAAGAAACCCCATTGTGGATGTTTTTGGCAAGAAACTCCCCTCAACTATGAGAAGGGGGTGATTTAACTTACCTCCGTTTAACAATCTGAATTTTTTCTGAACAAATTACCCTTACATTTGGGTTAGTAGCTTCAGTTGGGTCTTCACCAAAAAAATAAAAAAATCTCCCACACTTTCTAATAACTGTAAGAAAAAAAGAGAGCAATATATATTTACCACCCATTAATCAACCAAATGGAGCGCAGTTCAATGACCTAGCTTAAAAAACAATATATCCCTTAGAGAGAGAGAGTGCTTCGGAGTTTTTTGCAAGCAGCATACTGGAGATTCCTGTGTGTTCATTTTCGTCGCTGTCATGAAACAGGAAACCAAAAAAAAAAAATAGTATCAAATAGTAACACACAGGGTTTGTTGACTTGAATCACAATAACAAATTTATGAAATTTAAGAACTTCAATATAACATTATGGATTTTATGTGTAAAACTTGCATAGTGTTTCTACTAAATCTATTTATTACAAAAGTTAAAGTGAAATCATGGAAATGTGATCAATATATGATGAGTTTGAAACAAGCTTGAGATGCACAGAACAAAATTACACATCGAGTGTCTTGTGTTGCGAGACTGTTGTGTCCTTTCCTCTCTATTGGCAAACCATTGAACTGTTCTTCTTGCAATTGGCAACCAAAGCCTCCTCAATCTTTCCTCCTTGACATTATTTTCAGGAAGAGAAGTGTCTCTATTACTATTTCTCATGCCCAACTCTGTGAATCTTGGATGAACTGTTATATCTGACATCGATCTGTGTGTGTTGGGATTCAAAAATCTTGATGTTTGACTTTGATTTATTTTGGACTCCAAAGTGTTAGGAAGATCTGAATCAGTTTGGTTGATTTTATTGACCCTGCTCTCAAACACTCTCTCCCTCTCCATCTCCTCCTTGATCTTCAAAATTTCTGTGTCTTCAACCCCACTTGGTGTCGCGGATTGATCATTATTTACATCCAAGGAAGAGAATCTATTGCTTGACATAGCATTAAGGATCTCCGAATTCAGGAGCATGAGGTCAGAAGAACTCACACTGCTCCATCTATTCTTGAGGACCACATCAGACATAATGATCCTGTGATTGAACTTATGTAGAGCTTTTTCATTTTCGTCGCTGTCACAATCTACTTGGATGGGAAATTCTTTTTCTTTCTTACCCTTTTCAGATTTCCTAAAGCTGCTTCCAATGCTAAATCTCGAAGAACCATGATGGTCTTCCTCTCTCTGGACAAAAAGCTCCATGGTTGAGTACACGAAGTATGTAAGGTCATCAGCACTGACCTTAACCCTGCAAAGAGGACAGCTTGAGTGCTTCTCCAGCCATTGTCTTCGAACTTGGATATGTAAGGGTAACTTGGTCAGAAAAAATTGCCTCACAAAATTGTTAAATGGAGGTAAGTTAAATCACCCCCTCCTCATAGTTGAGGGGATTTCTAGCCAAAAACATTTACAAGGGAAATTTCTTACAAATGGGTAATAGTCAAAGGGTTTTTTTTGCAATTCGCCCTATTTTTTTTGCTCCGTACTTTTTTTAAGTGATCCTCTTGTTGGAAATTGAATGATTTTGATGAAATGACTATTCCAAGAAAGGAGGGGAATGAATATTCCATCTTTAAAATTACTTTGTGAATGAAATTAAAAGCATTGCATTCCACTTTATAGGGAAAAGTGCACAAAAAACCCCTGTACTATGGAAAAATCTACAACTAACCCCTTGAACTACCAAAAATGCAAGAAACCCCCTTAACTATGCAAAAAAGTTACAGATCACCCCATCCGGTGACCAGCCGTCCAGTAATGAGCACGTGAGAATCACGCGACAAACAAACTGAGTTTTGGGGCCAATAATGCCCTTCCATATATAAAAATACCAAATTGTCCTCTAACCACCACCACCACCGTCTACAACCACCAACATAACCACCACGAAACCCCCCTGAACTCATGCCAAAACACACCGTTAAACCAAATCAAACCCACCACCATCACTACCACCTCCATCGGCATCTCAACGGCACACCATTAAAACCAATACACAAACCGACTACCACCCCAATCCCGCCACCCATCTCTGCAAACCCAAAACCACCACCGCACATCACCCTATTCCAGTAACCAAATGACACATCAAACCCATAACCACCACCACGTTCAACCAAAAGCATCACCGCTCCTCCACCCAAAACCTCCACAATCACCACTCATCCCCATCACAAAGCCAACACCAATTGGAATATATATATATATATATAGTTTGGCTTTGGTTGTATCATCAGCTTCGGCTCTGATTCTCTCTCTCTCTCTCTCTGTGCAGAAAAATGAGGCCCAAAGACAGGTCGCTGTGGATAATTGAGGGTAATGTTGTCTTTTGGCTTTTCCAGCACCCTATTGTTAGTTCAAAGGGGTTAAATGCAACAATTTGTTAGTTCAAGGAGGTTTTATGTAGTTCAACGGAATTAGTTGCAAAACCCCAATAGTACAGAAGGATTTTTTGCACTTTTCCCTGCTTTATATTATATAAGGGGAAAAGTCTGAAAAACATCCCTATAGTTTTAAATTTGTGCGAATTACACCCCCATAATTTAATTTGGGTCAGAATTCCGATAAAAAATAGATATTAGTTGGTCATGTGCATGGTACATAACCATTTTAAACCCTTTATTCCCAAAATTACCCTTCTAATATTTCTTTAGTACCCTTCATCATATATATATATGATTGTACTGATTTTTCCTGAAGTATGATTCAATTGATTTTCCTTTTGATTAATTTATTAATTTGTTATTAATATATTATATATAAAAAAATGTATTTTTTTAGGGTAAAAATTTGTAAATCGAGTATAATAAATTTCATTATAAATAGTTAAGTTTCATATTAATGATTCCTTACTTTAATACAATAGGTTTTTTTTTTTTTTTTCATAATTGATACTCACACACGCATGCCACTAGGGGTGTTCAAAAAATCCAGTAAACCGAAAACCGGACCGGGCCGTACTGAATTGGGCAGTTTGGGCTAGTTGTATAGCCGTTTGGGCTAGTTGTATAGCGGTTTGGTCCAGTCCTGGGCCCAAAATTATGGAACCGTAATTTTTCGGTCCGGTCTTGGTTTAGGGTCGTGCTGGACCAGATTAGCTCGAACCGAACCGTTATTATGTTATTCTTTGTGTATATACATAAAATCATATCGTAAACCTAAATCAAGTAAAGTTCTCACGTGCCCCATTTCTTTCTTTTATTCTTTAAATTTCTTAATTTCTTTAAAAATAAGTCAAATTTCTCTTTTCAAATATATCTCAATTTTCTTTCCTTTATTTCTTCTTAAAATTCTTCTTTTTTTTTTCTTTTTTCTTTTTTTTTTTTTGCGTGTTATATCAATGTTGGTTGATTTTTTAGGAAAAAAAAAAAAACTTTGCCCCCTTTAAATTAAAATAAAATAAAAAGAAAATCTACCGAAACCGACAAACCGAACCGAGCCGAACCGATTTTTCGCAGTTTGGTTTGGTTTGGTTCAAAATAGTGGAACCGTTATAAATAGTTTAGTCTCAAAATACAATCAATCTGGTCCAAACCGGACCGTGTGCACCCCTAGATGCCTCTTTGGAGGCTAGAATTCTTGACATTCCTCTGAAAAGTAAGGGCCAATACTACTAGGCCCGTTGGTAATACAATAAGATTCTTAATAGGCATACGCAAACCCAAATGATTTAAACCTATAATAAACTCACACTAATTCCATTTTTAAGCTTATACCCTTACTATTGTAAACATTGACACTCCTTAATTTGTCAAAATAAATATTAATAATAGATTTTTATTTTAATACAATTTAGGGTACTAATCAAATATATAATTATATAATCTTATTAAAAAAAAATTAAAATATTATTAACTACAATATTGTATTTTCCTTACTTTTTTTTTTTTTTTTTTTTTGAATTATATTACACTCCACTAACATTGCACGTGCGCTTTACTGGTGTGATAATAAATTCATTCTATAAGGGTATGATAATATTGGGACATCCTAATTCTAAAATTAATACTTAACAAATTCTACCGAAAATTGAGTGATTCAAGCTAAAGTAACAATACAATTAATAAAAAGATATGAAAAGGCATAAAATGTCATAATTTATTATTTTTTAGAATCAAGGCATAAAATGTCAGAATTTGTTCCTCCTATTTATTATCGTGGTCATAAATCATAAATAATTAATTGAAGAAAAAAACATAAATTTCAATTATTCATCCTCAGTTAGGCATAAAATGTCATAATTTATTACTTTTCAGTACATAAAATGTCATAATTTGTTCCTCCTATTTATTATCTGCGTCATAAATCATAAATAATTAATTGAAGAAAAATAAATAAATTTTAATTATTCATCCTTAGGCATAAAATGTCATAATTTATTATTTTATTTCTCAAATAGTCCAATGAAAATTACTAATTCATGATTATATACAAGTAACCTTTATGCTAGACTCCAAATACAATCAATTTTAGTCTACGGTTAAGTACATGAAATTAACAAACTGGAACATGCATTTAAAATTGTTTAAATATTTTATTGAGTTAGTATGAACATCAAACAAATTTAACAATTGAAAACATAGAGTTACAAGACTAACTTACTAAGGCTTCCTCTCAGCCAAAGTTGAGAGATTAGAACTCAAATAAATAATAAAATAACAACTATAAAACACGGCATCATGAGTAGAAGAAGGATCTTCTGTATTTTATTTGTCACTTGCATAAGCCTCCCAGCTTTGCTTCTTAAGAAAATGCACGGCCTTTAGTGCCCTTATAACAGCTTCCATTTACAATTCAAACAGTGGCCAAGTCAACCCCCAGTGCAATCATGAGTCCATTGACTACAGTAAGACAGTATAATTTTCATTATCCATAAAGATCCAATCCAAACAGGTAATAATTCAATCACCAAAAATTCCACATGCACACTAATCAAATCAAAATCAAAACATATTGTAGAGGTAATTATTTGTAAAAGCTGAAGATAGGGCAAGAGGATATGCCAAAGTTGAGTTGTCGATCATACAATATTGATCAACAAATGAAACTCAAGGAATAAATTTGAAATGAATAGACAAAAATTCAAAATGCAGGAAAAGCAATCAGTACCTTATTTGCCAATCATATGCAAGTTAACCTCTTCTTGATTGCTAATGCCAAGGAGGCAAACTGATTTCTTGATAGAAGATATGCCGCAGATACTATCATTGCTGGGGGTCTAGGGGTTCTCGAAAAGTTAACACTTATAGCAACACGATGTGTCTTTTTATCCATGAGCGGGAATGTAACGTATGACCGTGACGAAGGCGTAAAAACAAGGGGCCCATATTCGATGAATGTTCTAAAAGTTTTATATATGACCGAACTCTGTTCAAAAATACACAAAAAGCATACTTGTTAAGGCTCAAGGTATACACTAAAGCGCCAAAGGTCTCCTGGAGCCCAAGCGCAAGGCACAATACAAGGCAAGAGACTGATAAAAGGCGCATGTATGATAAAGAAGCATATTAAAGATTAATTTAATAAAAATTATTGAACTATGCAACACATACTAGTCAATATCAAAATAAAGAAATCTTTCCAACATTTCAATGATGTGCAAAAATCATATCAAAATAATAATTCTATAAAAATGGGATTTTTGACCTATCAAGCTAAGAGGATCTGGTAAACTGATGTTGCATAAATCATTTCTTAGGCGTATAAATTTAGTAAATTAGATGTGACAATAAAAAGCTATGATCAAGTAGACATTAAACATATACAATCATGTTTATTTAGAATCAAAATGAATGCAATTAATGTAATAAGTCAACCATAAATCTATGAATTTGTCAAATATATCATAAAGTCAAACAATATGATCCATTAAATATGATCGTGATATTATACAAAACATTTTAATTTAATGGTCATTAAATAAAGGACGTAAAATGAGAGAGTCTGGGGGCTTGGGCTTGGGCTTGGCCTTTAGTAGGTCGAAGCACTCTTAACTGAGCCTTGACAAGCCTGGGGCTTTTTTGGATACAAGGCACACTTTTAATGTTGATCAACATTCCCACTTTGTTACTTCTTTATCCAAGAAAAAAAAAAATAATGAAACAAAAATTACAAGTACACATACAAGGGTACCAATATTTCTCTAAAAGTGAGTCCAACTCATTGATAGTTTGGCATTCCACTGTCGTAAGGATTTAATTGGTAATATTGTTGAAATAATAAAAAAATGGAAGAAAGACATCCTCAACATCCCCGACTTGCTACTTCTTTATCCCAAAAAAGAAAAAGAAAAAAAATACATTTAATGAAACAAGAATTACAAGTAGACAAGGTTACAAAAATTTCTCTAAAAGTGAGTCTTACTAATTTAATGTTTGACATTCAATTGTTGTCAACAGGCTATCACACATAGAACCTTTGGATTAAATGAGGTTGGAAGGAAAACAAAACACGTGACTTTTGGTGCTCATATATAGCCAAAGAAATTTGCTAATTGTAGAAGTTATACATATATCTTTTTCCAGAATTTCAAGCAAATTGTATAAAACAATAAAATGAAAAAAGTGGACAAGTCCACCGGATAAGATCTCTAAGTGAGAGACCAGGCCCAATTAGAAACCACCACTTATAAATGGGAATACGATACAAAAAAAGCCAAAATAAACCCAAGCCCAGTAACAATTCTCAAGCCGATCTCAAGTCAAGAGGCTTCCTTGGAGGATGGCAGGAGGAGGGGGAGATACCCCAGATGAGCAAAACACGACAAGATTGGGGTGAATCTTTCAAAAACCCACCCATGAGCCTCTCTATGATGGAGGAACAGATTTGGTCCAAAACATGGTTCAGCGAGGAGATCTTGCCTCTGAAAACCCAAGCATTTCGTTTGATTTCCAGTGGTGGGATGACGCATTAAAAGACCTATCAATATTGAACTCATGATGTTGGCTGACTCAGTAGACTTAGTAATATGCTACATACAAATAATTTTCTGGTGTTCTTTTATCAACAAAATCATATAGAACCATCGCCCTGAAAGGTAGAGGAACATGTATATGGTTTATAGATGAAAGGGGTCAGAATTAGTTTGGTTTGGTAAGTGATCGATTGCTAGATTGTAGATACAAAAACTTTTCCGCACTAATGAAGTAATGCAACCCTAAGGTTACCTAGATTCAGATTATTAAGAACAATTTTTTGGGGTATAAATAAAAAATTGTGGAGAATATCGTGGAACGGCTCTTAATAGACACAAGACCAAATCTGAGATTATGTAAAATGCACCTCTAGCCTTGAAAGCTTCATGCTTTGATAGACTAAAAAAAAGGGATATAATAGAGGATGCAGAAAAGTACGTAAAAGTATGAAAGTAAAGAGTAGATTTCAATAATATTGTAATGAGAGCCTGGAATAGTCAGGACTATGCAAGTGGCCAGGACTATGCAAATGGCCACATAAGACACTTCCAAAACCCAACTGAAGTTACTGAACATACAGGAAGAAAGAGAGTAATGCAATATAAGATGAATAGAATGAAGATGAAGAGTAGAGAGAGGCAGCAAAAACATTTGGAATTTTTCCAATCAACCCAACCATAGTTTTGGGAATGGGTAAGAAAAAGATAAGCCGCGAGATCATCACCCTCGTTTTCCAAACCTCCAGTGCTAAGATCCTATGTAGGTAGAATCAATGCATCATATAACCAACCACACATAGGTGATCCTCAAATGCCACATAAAAAAGCTGATAATATAGTAGCATCAACCTCGGATATGAGAAACACCAAAAATGAGTGTTTGCTAGGTCGGGAGGAATGATAAGTGGATGGGAGAGAGATGAGTTGCTCAAGTATTCATGAATATAATTCTTAACAGCACACAAAAAGATTAAAATTTATACTTCAAAATATGTGAAGCAAGAATTTACCATCCCTAATGAGAAAAACATCAGCAAGGACAAACTACTGTCTATGTCTCTTACCTTTTCCTTGGAAAAACTGTTAGACAGTGAGGGAGGTGGCATGCAGAGATCCTTCGAATAAGACCTCAATGTTAAACTCTCTTCTGTGTAAAACAAAACATAACAAAATCAGACTACTTTAAGGCCCCGTTTGGTTAGATATAACTAAGCAAGAAAAGAAAAGAAATGAAAAATGAAAGAAAAGTGAAGTGAATGAAAAGAAAAGTTATTTTCTATCAAGCATTTGGTTAGCATGAAAATTTATTCAAGAAAATTGTATGAAAATATTAGTTTGTTAGTTTGGATAGCATGAAAATGAAAAGAAAGTGATTGTGCATACCAAAATTACCCTTATGATTTCAAATACTAAAAAAATAAATAAATTTGTGTTTGATGATATCTATTTTTATCAAAGTTTTAAAAAAAATGATGAATTATTAAAGTTAATAATATAATTATTTATATTCATTTATATTGTATAAAATAAAACAATACTTCAAGACTTCTTAGGTAGAACCATAGAAGTAAAACTAACTATTCATTTAAAAGGAATAAGGAGGCTTAAAAATAAAATAAAAAATAAAAAATTTGGGCTCATGGACTCATGGGCTTTCAACTAGAGAACACAAAAAAGCAAAACATATATTATTCTATGTATATATAATAGAGGGGTATATATATATATATATATATATATATATCAAATACAATGTATATATTTGGAACCCAAAAAAAAAAATCGTCCAAATAGTATTGCAAAAGAACATGTTTAGAGAGAACTTGCCTTTTAGAAGTCCACTAAAATAGAAATTGTTAGAAAACTTGACTCTTTGAAACTCAGTAGAAAAGAAACTCAGTTAGAAAAGAAAGAAGTTAGTTGTTTTACATGATTCAGTTGTTGGAAAAAATAGGAACTTTAAATAAAAAGAAGCAGTTTTCAAGAGAAAATATTATTTCCTCGTGTTTTATGTGAGAAAAGTTTTGGGGGAAACTAGTCTAATGTGGGAAACTATATTTTCTATTACGATTCTTTTTCCATCTATCCAAACTCTAAAAAAATTTAAAAATTTTCTCTTTCCTTTCTTTTCTAGTTGATTCCATCTAATCAAACAAAGCCTAATGGATTTTTTCTGGAAAATTCCTTTGAAGCATGAGTCACTTGAAGTGGAAATCAACCAATCACCTAATTCTTCCGTTGCCTCTTTGATACTTTCACTTTCACTATGGCATTTTAATGTCACGAAAAAATAAACATGCATTAGAATACTAGAGCTTATTCAAAATCAAATCACCTAAAGAAAGAGAGATAAGAAGATACAAAATTTTCACCGATCAACTGAACAAAGTAATTAGCTGCCAAACCAGTCAATGTCACTTAAATCAACATCTTTGTCGTTTATAACAAACCCGGCTCTCTCAAGCAGCGCCTTAATGTCGTTGACCACCTTTTCTTTTGGAATCTATAAGAAAACATTAAGGGAGTAACTTTGTGAAGTGTTGGGTCAAAACTTAAAACATGAGGAAACTGGTAGTAATACGAGTTGAAAGATGACCTCTTTCATTCAAAAGGAAAAACAACTAGCATTCACAACACCCCCGTGGTTTGCCTCTTTGACACCCAATTCTTTCATAGTGACACCTCCTCAGATTCGCTCCATTAGACAAAGACACTCCGTGAACGCTCCGGCACATGGTAAAATGACCTGAATGCCCTTTTACTTGTGAAGTGACACTTTGAATAGTTAAATTACCAATCAACCCATTCTAACTAATTTTAAATGTCCAAAATAACCTCTTCATCTCAACCACCTACCCACAATGCTGCCACCACCACCACCCACAGCCACCACCTCTTCTTTCTTCTCTTCCTTCTCTCTCTAAAACACATACATTGCAATCCTCTGCAACCACTACTCCATGGTCGAACCATCAAGGTCCAGACCACCCTCAATCACCCCAATTGAAGTCTTCGCCATTCAAGATGGCCCCATATAACCCCTTCACTGACAAAACAAATAACTAATGAACCAATGAAGGCAAGTCATGCAATTTCATTCCATCAAACACCTTCTGTAAAACCTCCCTATGCCTTCCCTTATCAAGAAACAAAAAGTTCTCTCCATAATGTTTATATTTATAAAAATTTCCTCCATTTATTGGGGGAAAAAAAAAAAAAACAACAAAAAACAAAAAACAAAAAAAACAAAAAAAAAAAAAACAAAAGTTCTCTAAAAAATGACACCATCTTCACCATCAAAACCTTAAACCAATCACAACCAAAACACGAAAGAAACGAAAATTCTCCAAAAATTGACGCCATCTTCACCATCAAAACCATAAACCAATCACAACCAAGCAACAATCACAAAACACGGCAGACGTGGCTCGCCAAAGCCTACATCCACAATGAAGTTCCGGTGAAAGCATTCACTATGCAAAAATCTGGTAGGTACAAGTTTCAACCCCCAAACCCTTTCTCTCGCTCTATTTTCTACGATTTTCAGTGTCTATCTATATCCCACTCCAAACCCTAAACGCCCATTATATATCGGGCTACAAGAGGGTACTAAACAAGGCGTAGTTGCGACCCTAGAACCAAACTCAGGCCACAACATCACTGATTCTAAGTAATTGAGTTGTCAATAGTGGTAAAGGCTAGGGATTCAGAGGTGTGTGGTAGTTGGGTGATTAGAGTGGTGGAGTATGGCGAAGGGAGTGATGGATGTGGGTGGTTGGAGTGGTGGAGGTGGACTATTGAAAAAGAGAGTGAGAGAGAGAGGAAGGGTGGAGGAGAGAGTGTCCCAATTGAAATGTGTAGAGAGGGATGGTGACAGCTGATTGTGGTGGTGGAGGAGAGAGAGACGTAATTGAGGTGTATAGGGGTGTTTTTGTCTGCCTCGGTTTCGAGGTCGAGCAAGGCTTCAATGGCGAACGAGTTGGACTCAACTGAGTTGGGGTTCAGGTTGGTATGTGATTGATGCGAAGCTTGTTTTAATGGTGGTAGTGGGGTGAAGGTTGCGGTGGTGAGTGGGGAGAGAGAAAAAGAAGGGGCAGGTGGTGGTGGGCGGCGATGGTGGGTGGTGTTGGAAATGGTCGGTGGTGGGGTAAGCTAAAAATGTGAGAAAAGCATTAAAAATGGGTCTTTTGGTTTTAGGGGCAAAGTAGTCTTTTGGTTTCTCTATTTTTTATAATAAAAGAGCATTAAAAAATTAGGGCAATTTAGACATTTCACACATTTTTAATGTGGAAAAGCTAACGGGAGGTGTGACTTTCAAAAACATTGCCAAGTTCTATCTGGGTGACTGAGGCAAACCACATGGGGGTCAGTGTAATTTTTAATAGGTATAAATATCATAACCAAATAAATTTCTACACAATTTCTGGAAGAAAAGAAAAAAAGTTTAAATCTATGAATGTTGCAAACAATATGAGAATTACAATAAATCGCAAGAAACAAGCACAAAAACCATAAAAAACACAGATCATAACAACTTACTTCACTTTGTACTAATTGCCTGTATTTTTCAAGAGCAACACCAGCCTTCTCAAACACTTTGAGCAACAATATTCCCCGCGTCATCGCTGCCTTAATATCGTTAAGCGACCGAACCAACTTACCAATCTTATTAATTCCGAGCAACTTGCTTTCATCTTGAGTTAGTCCTACAATCTCGTCAACCAACTTATCATTCTTGTGACTTCCGATCAATTTGAATTCATCTTCAGTTAGTCCTACAATCTCTTCAATGATGCTTTTGAGTATTGACATGCTCAAAGGGTTAACTTTTCTCGAGCAACCAACAGTAGAGTAGCCATCTCAATAAGTTCTCCCTCCATAGCATAATGAATAAATACTTTATCAACTTCCTTTGTGTTCCATGCCAGCAACCTATTAATTTCTAATGGTACTTTCTGCCACATTTAACCATAATAAGCAACAAACAGAAAGGAAAAAAAAAAAAATAGATCAGACCACTCAACCCATTCAAATGTATAGAAAGTAAACATTATTTGTAATACACATAAATTTTGTCTAAACAAACCATTTGAGGCAGACAAAAGAACAACGATCAACTTGAAGATAGATTGTTTTGGGGTCCAATCAATCAAGGATCGATGATAACTGCATCAGCCACATTAAAAATACAATCAAGAAAAAGGGAAAAGAATTAGGTAGTTAAGAATGATGTATTAAACCTTGATCTAAGTTCATATTATAGGCCCCATGAAAGATATAAGAAAGAATAATTTTATATTATAAAATCTGTCTTCTACCTTACTGTTTCAAGTGATACGTTGAGAGGAAACAAGTCGCCCCTAAATTCACCCTCTATGGTTCTGCATCAGTCCGAGCTCCATGGCAAAGTAATGTCGCAATCATTTCATATGATAAACTATTAGCTGCTAAATGCAATGGATATAATCCATCGTTAAAGGGAATATTGAGATCAGCGATGAAACCAGTCTCCCCTCCGAGAAAAGCGATGGCACAATCTATTATGCCAAACTGACAAATTTGATACAAAATTATTGGTGGGCAATATTTACCTTGTTAATCAGATGATTCCTTCTTTCCAACTTCTTCTGTTTTTGGTACTTTTCTTTGAAATAGCTCATTCATAAAAGAGAGAAATAGAGGTTTGTCATCATAACAAACAATCTCTTCTTTAGATGAGCATATCCAACCTGTCATTATTTGAACAACACTAACATCAACACGTGAAGACGACCACAAAAAGATAATAGCGCATATCATTAAAATAAATGCACGAACAGTAATATAAGTAAGAAAAAGGGAGCCCCGATCCTCTGCTGTAATCTCCCTTGCTGTAGTGGTGCCATAGGGTTTTTCAACACAATTACACCTGTTTTCAACATATTACATATGCCCCAATTACAACAGAGGAGATTATAAGTGAGGATCCGAGTGCATGAAAAGGGAATGTGAATGTATTCAAGTTTAAGTAGACACCTCAGACATCCTTGCCCCAATTACAGTATCTGCTCTGAATTCTGACCTCCTTAAAAGGCACTCCAATATAAGAATAACCTTCAGAAGGAAAAAAAAAAAAAAAAAACATAATCGAAATAAACAACTAAATCACAATGGGGAGGCAATCACATAATTATATACTGTACTTCAATTCAGTTTATAGTGCAAAATAACTACTAGAGAATGGAATCCCAACATTCGTCGGATGCACAAAAGGGTTTATGCACTTGTGTATAAAAAACATAAAAGCTCGCATACGAAACAAGAGGCCATTACTGGCCTAGTTGATAGAGCACCTAGCTCCTCGAGCAGGTGTGCCCGAGTTCAAATCCCCACTCCACCTAGTTTGCGAAGGGAAAAAAAAAAACAAAACAAAACAAAACAAAACATATGAAACAAGACAAACTTAATCCCTACCACTCGCGCCTGTTAAGGTACATAAGCCGATGCTATGTATTTGCTACAATCAGATCTACACCAAATCAAACCAGGTAGAGAATATCTGAATCCAAAAGCACAAATATTTCCAATAGAGATGAAATGCAAATTGATCCAATATAGTCAAGGGCATAAAACTTCTGCACAATAATCATACAATTTCGGAAAAAATATTGAAACAAATACAGGCCAACGAAGAGATGTCAGAGACCAAAGGAACGCCGATATGGGTGTGGCGGACTAGTTTCGATCTGGTGGCAGTGGTGCTCATAAAATTTAAGCACAACAATCATACAATTTTGGAAAAAAAAAATAAAGAATACTGCCCCACGAAGAGATAACAGAGACCAAATGGGACACCGATATGGGTGTGGGGGACTAGGTTCGATCTGGTGGTGGTGGTGCAGTGGGAGAGAAGAAACCCACCTGGTGCACAAGGTCGATCACTCTTGTGGGAGAGGCACGTGAGATAGAAGCTGGGGAAGTAAGTTTTGAAATAACATAAATAGCCACCTTTTATGAGCTGACATACTCTGAGGTTATTTTTTCCAACAAAAAAATTTGGGGGAGAAATCCTCCCCATCAAGGAGGGGAGCTCAGCTCTACAGTATATATCCGATTCATTGTTAGGGTTGATAAGTCGGGTTTAAATATAGTTCAGGACCGCCTCAGGTTAGGCTTCAAATTGATCCACACAGTAACTAGAGCTCCAATCAAAATGAAATGGGGTTGTTACTTTTCAAACCAAGCTCGGACCAAATTGCAAGTTAAACAGCCCGCCCAAAAACTTTGGAACTAGGATCGAGTTTGTCCGAATTGGGCCCAACAATTTGCATCCCTAGCTATATTTACTATGGAAAGCTAAGTGACCTCACTGAAATTTCGATATTTGATGGGTAATTAGTTGGTTATTACCAAGTGAAACTAATAGAGAGAGTGCTCTTACTACTACCTTTCTTCATGATTATCATTACAACCTTTCTTCTTCTTGATTAATTACAACGTACATAGGGATGGTAAAGGGGGCAGGAGTACCTTCCCCCTCCCGTTTAAGTCTCCCCACCAAAAACTGTTTAGCAAAACCCCCCTCACCGTCCCACTTAAGTTTCACTGCCCCGCCCCATTTAAGTTTCAATTTACTGATACACTAACATATAATCAAAATGAATGATCAAGTATGCGTTCTGTGAGCTTAAATGATAAATGAACTACTGTAAAAATAAAGGAAATATATAAATGATATGTGTTCTGTTAAAGTAATTTTATGAGATCAGAATCATTAGATCTGTGTAAAAGATAAAGAAATTTCATAAGATCGGATGTATATTCTGTTCGAATTGAACCCATAAATCATAATCCAACACAAATATCTGTAAAATAAAGATTTACCCATTTTTCAAGTAATAAATTGGTGTAAATCTATACGCACTTTAGACATATAATATATAGACAGCCGCTGTCCACCCACGGAGTAAGTTCACTGAGTTTTACTTTATGTATACCACACGCAGCAAGTTCACTAAGTTGTACTTTGGGTATACCACACACAGCAATGGATCTTTAACTTTGAAGAAAAAAAGAAAAAGAGAGAGAACTGACCGTAGGCCGTAAAACCAGTGGGCGGGTGGTCGGCGAGGTTGACGAAGCCGGCTTCGGTGGCAGGCCGTGAGGGATGCGAGAGTGAGGGTTTTTGGTTATCTCTAGAACGGCTGTACGCTGAAGCGATGAGATATTGATTTCTATTAGTCTAGTACCATATCGTGGGTGTATATATACGTATGGGTAAATTACAGACTTCCCTCGAGTTCTGGGTAAAGAAAGACCATTTGGCATTTAGTTATTCCTCATATTTGTGATTCTATTGTTTTGTTTTCGATGCCAAATTTTATAAAATAATAATTTTTTTTCTTTTCTTCTATAAAATAAAAATTATATTAATTTTTCTTAAAGTTTATCATAATTACCGAACCTTCCTTAAATTTTAAAAATTACTCTAACCCCCTAAAACAAATCTTGTGACATAGGTCTCCCTTTTTAACAATTACCACTAGTCCATGACGAAAATTCAATTTGCTTCCAAACATTTTGAATTCTACCTCACTCCTAATCTATACATACATCCATATATGTATGTAAATCACCTTCTAAAATTCAAGTATACCTTCTCCAACACCATATTGCAACAACACAATGTTATAATTAACCATAAATAACGGGTGTTGTCTATAAGGAGGTGACTTATGAAGTTAAAATTATGGAAAAGAAAAAAAAATATGTTTGTTGCAAGGGTGGTGTGTGTTACAAGGTTTAGTTTTTAGGGGATGCTCGAGTAATTTCAAAAATGGTAGGGGAGATCCATGTAATTATGATAAATCTCGAGGAGGTCAATGTAATTCGCCCTATATTATAATATAAGGGCATTACTGACTTTCACACTTTTGGGCCACCCGTGAACCAGTTTAAGGGAGATTAAAGTAATAAACGCTGAAATATTCTTTATATTTGTAATTTGTTCAAACATCATGGGAGGTCAGTGTAATTTACCATATATATATATAGACACACATGCAATATTGTTCAACAACGCAAAGGCTCTCACTCACCTTAATTATGATACCCCTAATTTTCACACATAAGTTTATCATACACGCAAAAATCGGGTGATATCATAGGCAATAGATAATAAGCAAGCAAATAGTACAAAGTGATAAATAAAATAAAAAAATTAAAAGCAAAAAGAAATAATAATAAATGATAATAATCTTCAACCATCCATAAAATCGATAAATGTTTAAATCTCCAAAAATACAACTCAGAAATCCCATAAAACAAGGACCCCTAAATCCATATTTAATTGTGTCCAAATTGTTTTACCACTTTAAGTGGGTATTCGCTTTTTGGAAAACGTTGCATTGGTTATGTGTTGGTTAAACTATATCGTACAATAAATAACGTGTTAGTTATATATTTTATCCCAATTGTTATAACCAATTTGGATAATGTTGTGTTGATTAGGTGTTGGGTGAATAATTCTAAATAGTTATATAACGTGTAACGTGTTATTTAAATATTTGTTATAACCACTTTTTGGACAATATGGTAGTAGTTGGTCAATTTTACCACTTTAGTGGAAAATACATGCTATATATTGTTACACGTAATTACTATAAATGGTTAAATTACGTAATAAGTTCTAAAGTATTTTGTGCTAACACGTTAATTGTGCAATTAATTTCATAATCTAATTTATGGTTTAATTATATATGTTGATGTCCTTGTGATCTATAAACATGATCTATGGTTGTATTATTCGTTATATCTCTAATTTATGCCTTGTGGATGAAATAAATGAATGTATGTGATGTAATCATTGAGATAACTAATAAGGTAGACTCATTGTTAGATATGGCTTTATATATGACAGAATCATTAAATTAGCTACAGGGACAGAGGCATAATTTTTTTTTTTTCAGGGGGGCACATTATACACTAAATACATATAAATTAGTATTTATGGAGTATATATACATAAAGAGACATAGGTGGATATATATAGAGATTGATATTTCTGGGATGAGATAAATTAATCAATTACATATATATAATATAATAAAACAATTTAAGAAAAAACATTTAAGGAAACATATATAGTATATAAAGGAAGGAGAAAATTCAGGGGGGCGTTTTTACACATTTCTAACATATGTGACGTTTCTGATTTTTCTCATTTTCCATTTTTCTGGAATTTCTGATTTTTTTCTAGGGTATTTTCGTCTTTTCTCGTTTCGCGTGCCGAACACCGTGGGGTGTGCCAGTTATGTCTAAGAGTTGGTTGGGGGCATTCCATTGAGCTCAGGACTCTTAGAAATGAATGGGTTACCATTTCGGCATTTTTCTGTTTCTTATGCCGGGAGTCCTAGGTGGGACCCGCTACCGGAATTGTCGCGTCCGGGGGTTTTGTTTGGGTCTAATTGTATTTCATTTATTTTGTTTAATTTGTTTTATGTGGTTGTGATTTATTATGTGCATATATATATTTGTGATAGAAATTAAAAAAGGGAAAAGATATTTTAAAGGGTGGGACCCACTAATTTTTATTAAAAGAGGGCAAGAGGCCAATTTTGGCCTCACTTTTCCTCATTCCTCTCTCTCTCTCTCTCTCTCAACGAATCTCTTTCCCTCATTCTCTTTTCATTTATTTTCCCTACAAGCTTTAAATCTCGATTTTTCTCAAACCATTAGGAAATTTTTGGTTCCGTTTGCGGCAAATTGAAGAGCTCGTTAAGATTTACGATTTGATCGAAGCAAAAGTGTTTTTGGTGCACCTTGGAATTCCAAAAATTAGGGCTTGGATTTGGGGATTTTGGGGTTCTCTACATCAACTTTAAGGTATGTCTAATTGTCGATTTCCTTGGATTTAATAGCTAGTTTGATGTTTTTCACATCATTTGGCATGTCAATTTGATTATTAATTGAATAATGCAATTTCTAGTGTTTTAGTTTATGCTTGAGTTTAACCCAATTGATGGTTTTGATCGAATTAAATGTTTATTTTGGGTATGAATTTATAATAACATGCTAAAAAATGACTGTGGTGGATTATATATGTTATTCCTAGTATGGTTGTTTAGTGTATATTGAAGCACGCTAAAGTTGTTTAAATAACTTGTTGTGGCCATGAAATTGTTTATTGCATAATGAAGGAATGTTGAAAATTGAGTGATTGAAACTAAGATGTTCCATATGCATCACATGAGGGTATTGATAGGCATAAAAGAGGTGAGGGTGTAGATGAGATGTGTAGATGTGTGGGAGTGGAAAAGAAAGGTGTGGATACACGGTGGTATGGATGGGATGTGTGGATAAGTGGGGGTATGGTGTGACATGCGGTTGCATTGATATTTTTATGTATTGCATTGTATGTGATGGTGATATGAATTACTTGAAAATTTAAGTGCCGTATGTGAAATCCCTCCCATGACCCCACTCATTTTACCTATTCATTGTGTGTAAGGCATTGGATTACTTACTTTGTTTGAGGAGGTGCCACTTAGGCAATCTCAATTGAGCCGTTGTGCTCACTCCTCTACAATTTTTCAGGTCACGGGATTGAGCTGGTGGGTGTTGAGCTTCCACGAACACGGATGGGGTTGGACTTATATCACATTGTATTAAGATATATATTTTGTGAATCTTAAACAATTCTATGTAATCGTTTTATTGTTATAATTTGACAATGTATCCGTATTTTTAGACAACAATTTGATGTATTTTGTGTATGGCTATGGAAGTATGTAATAATCATGATGGTTTATTGGGATGGGTGAGATGACTATGGGTTATTTGATTAATTTCATTGATAATGATGACTCATGATGTGTATCATTATTGTTGCGAGGTTGGGATAGGTTGGGCACTGGGTTTGGCTCACAAAGAGCCTAGAGTTTTTAAACCTTCAGGCTGCACATAGCTGCATTCCAGGGCTCATTAGCCGACTGGCAAGGCATGTCAGCCGACTGACAGGCATCTCGAGACCATTCCATTGAGTTGTGTAGTTGAGAAGTCTTATTTCGGCCAACCGAACCTCACCATCGGTCGACCGAAACTCCATCATCAGTCGGCCGACACTTCATCACCAGCCGGCCGACACTTCATTTTAGAGAAGTCCCTGGAGTAAACAATTTTGGAGATCATTTCAGCCGGCCGAACCTTACTTTTAGTCGGCTGAAGGATCACTTTACCAAAGTCTCGAGAGTGAGCAGCTTTGGGAGTCGTTTCGGCCGACTGACTATCTCAGTCGGGCCGACCATGCATTCTCAGCCGGCTGACCTTTCCATTGACCCGGCTGATCCTTCCATTGACTTGGTTAACCTCTCCATCAGCTGGCTGACCTTATCCATTGACCTGTACTTTGACTTCTCCTTCTAAGCTGTGTTTTAGAATGACTCTGGACCCTTGAATGATCTGAGTATCCCCTGTCAGCATAGGAAATGACGGAATTGCCCTTAGTTGACCCCGGTTTGGGTCGTTACAAAATTGGTATCAGAGCTTTAGGTTCGAAAACCCAAGGACGACGGGTAGGGTTGACCCAGGTTGAGTTAGAGTTGAGATTGACAGTATTGCATGCTTATGTAGTTATAGTTTATTTAGTTAAAAAGCACGACTTGCTATTACGTGTTTACATGCGAATCGATTATGAGACTTATAAAATGGTGATTAAATTTAAACATGCTAAATGATAATGTGCTTATTTTTCTTAAGTCATTGTTTAATGAATGTGAAAACATGCCTATTTGCTAGATGCTTATGTGAAATTTTTTGTATGATTAATGAAATGGTTAAATCTGTTTAAAGCATGCTTAATTGCTATATACATATATGTTTAAATGCTAGTATGTGTATTTCATGACTATAATTATTAAGTGCTTAATTGTCTACTATTTATTGAGTCCTTGCTTAGTAAATGTACGTATGACTAATGCGTTTCATTGTTGATGGGTTTGAATGTTCGTGGCGGTGTTGTGTGTTGGGTTACGAAGGGTTCTAACCCGCGTATATGGAGAGCTTAGTCATTCCTATGTTTCTGAACGTTTTAGTTCTTATCGAACGGATAATGTGAGCACCATAGCTCATGGATTGAGTTACTTCATGTATTCTTGTTTTGATCGTTTAGTTGTCTTTGTAGAACCGTGTTTGAGGATGACGTAGTGAGATGGATCCAGATGAAGTTGGACAGCGAGCAAGTGAAGGGCCATCCTAACCAGACAGGGTTTCAATAGGACAGGGTCGAGATAGAGAGACGGATGATAATCCACAAGTACCGGTGGATGATATCTTATTAGCAGGGGCTGTAGCCTCAACCTTTCAGAATTTAGCGAATACCACATCTCCTCAAGTGGTACCACAATCGGCTATTCAGCCATAGGACACGGAGACGAAGCAAAATCTTAGGTACCTGATTCAGTTTGACAAACTCATGAGAGTAGCATTTGAGGGAGGTCCAGATCCGTTGGTAGCGGACGATTGGTTAAATGAAGTTGAAAAGCATTTCAGGGCAATAGCCGTGCCCGATGATCAGTTGAAGATCACCCCAGCCACGTATAAGTTTGTTGGCAACACGGCAGTATGGTGGAAGACCATGACTAGCGCACATGATATTGACAGTATGAGTTGGGATGCATTCAAGAGTCTTTTCTTTGATAAGTATTTCCCGCAGACTAAAAGACGGGAATTGAGGACGCAGTTTGACGGGCTTGAACAAGGTGACATGGTAGTGACAGAGTATGAGAATAAGTTCACTTCTCTTTCACATTTCGCTACAGATGTGTTAGGGATCGAAAATGAGAAGACATGGCAGTTTATGTACGGTCTAAATCGTTTAATTAGGCCGGGGGTGACACTTTTGGGATTAAAGAATTATTCGGAAGTGGTTACGAGCTGATGGCAGAAACAGAAGCCAAAGATTGGCAAGAAATGAGTGGTATTATGGGTTCTCAGGAACGAGGTACAAATGTGGGTACTTCTTCCAAGAGCCAGGATAGGAAAAGGCACAGAGGTGCTTCATTATTTTCTCAGGAGCAGCAAACGACAGGTGTTACTCCTATTGTTGGTGTTTCTTCAAGGTCCTCTAGGACGAGTGTGATGTGTTATCAATGTAGACAGCCAAGACACAGCAAGGCAGAGTGTCCTCTTGATAGACCTAGTTTCGGAGTTTGTTTTCTGTGTGGTCAGCCGGGCCACATGAAGAGGGATTGTCCACAGAGGAGATGAGATATTACTATGATTGATTATGATGTAACGAGGGCGACCTGTGACTGTGATGTAACGAGGGCGACCTGTGACTGTGATGTAACGGGGGGTTACCTGTGACTATGTAAAGGGGATACCTGTGAATTTTGTAATGAGGGCTCCCTGTGAGTCGTGTCGTGTTGTAACGGGGGCTACTTGTGAGTCGTGTTGTGTTATAACGGAGGACACATGTGAGTCATGTCGTGTTGTAACAGGGGAAACCTGTGAGTCGTGTTGCACGGTTGTCTGTGAGTCGTGTTGCATTATTGTCTGAGTCGTGTCTCATAGTTATCTGGGAGTCATGTCGCATTATTATATGTGCGTCTTGTCATGTTGTCGTCAGTGCGTCGTGTCGTGTTGTAACGGGGGTTAGCTGTGAGTCGTGTTATGTCGTAACGGGGAATACCTATGAGTCTGGTGCAGTAACGAGAATTACCTGTGACCATGTAACGGGGGATACCTGTTAGTTCTGTAACAGGGGATACCTATGAGATTGGGTGTGACAAGAGATGCCTGCACACTGTTGTTGTGGTAATAGGGGCTACCCGTGAGTTTGGGTAGATGCCTGTGCACTTTTTGTAGGCATCTCCTTAATTTGTAAGCTTATACCAAACCCAAATGATTTAAATCTTAATAGGCATACGCAAACCCAAGTGATTTAAATCTATAATAAAATCACACTTATTCAATTTTTAAGCTTATTCCCTTACTATTGTAAACATTGACACTCCTTAATTTGTCAAAATAAATATTAATAATAGATTTTTATTTTAATTCAATTTAGGGTACCAATCAAATATATAATTATATAATCTTATTATCTTATATAATAATATTATTAAGAAAATTTTATATTTTTAATTACAATATTGTATTTTTCTTTCATTTTATTTTATTTTATTTTGGTTGAATTATATTACACTCGACGAACATTGCACCTGCATTTTACAAGTACGATAATAAATTCATTATATAGGACACATGATTATTATCCGTTCTTTTATTTATTATTATTATTATTTTTTTCTCATCTAACTAATGTTTTCATTTCATTCATTTTCCATTGGACCGAACAAAGCCCTAGCAATCTTTGATATTACAGAAACCTCGTAGAAAAGTGAAGTGCGATTATCATCTCCCTTACAAGATTGTTTCCAAAAGGAATTGATTAGGACACCCATAATCTAAAATTAATACTTAACAAATTCTACCAAAAATTGAGTGATTCAAGCTCAAGTAACAATACAATTAATAATAAGATATGAAAATAAGTATCAAGGCATAAAATGTCATAATTTATTATTTTTTAGTATCGAGGCATAAAATGTCAAAATTTGTTCCTCCTATTTATTATCTTGGTCATAAATCATAAATAATTAATTGACGAAAAATACATAAATTTCAATCATTCATCCTTACTTAGGCATAAAATGTCATAATTTATTATTTTTTTCTCAAATAGTCCAATGAAAATTACTAATTCATGATTATATATAAGTAACCTTTATGCTAGACCCCAAATACAATCAATTGTAGTCTATGGTTAAGTATATGAAATTAACAAACTGGAACATGCATTTAAAATTGTTTAAATATTTTATTGAGTTAGTATGAACATCAAACAAATTTAAAAATTGAAAACATAGAGTTACAAGACTAACTTACGAAGGCTTTCCTCTCAGGCTCTCAGCCAAAGTTGAGAGATTAGAACTCAAATAAATAATAAAATAACAACTATAAAACACGGCATCATGAGTAGAAGAAGGATCTTCTGTATTTTATTTGTCACTTGCATAAGCCTCCCAGCTTTGCTTCTTAAGAAAATGCACGGCCTTTAGTGCCCTTATAACAGCTTCCATTTACAATTCAAACAGTGGCCAAGTCAACCCCCAGTGCAATCATGAGTCCATTGACTACAGTAAGACAGTATAATTTTCATTATCCATAAAGATCCAATCCAAACAGGTAATAATTCAATCACCAAAAATTCCACATGCACACTAATCAAATCAAAATCAAAACATATTGTAGAGGTAATTATTTGTAAAAGCTGAAGATAGGGCAAGAGGATATGCCAAAGTTGAGTTGTCGATCATACAATATTGATCAACAAATGAAACTCAAGGAATAAATTTGAAATGAATAGACAAAAATTCAAAATGCAGGAAAAGCAATCAGTACCTTATTTGCCAATCATATGCAAGTTAACCTCTTCTTGATTGCTAATGCCAAGGAGGCAAACTGATTTCTTGATAGAAGATATGCCGCAGATACTATCATTGCTGGGGGTCTAGGGGTTCTCGAAAAGTTAACACTTATAGCAACACGATGTGTCTTTTTATCCATGAGCGGGAATGTAACGTATGACCGTGACGAAGGCGTAAAAACAAGGGGCCCATATTCGATGAATGTTCTAAAAGTTTTATATATGACCGAACTCTGTTCAAAAATACACAAAAAGCATACTTGTTAAGGCTCAAGGTATACACTAAAGCGCCAAAGGTCTCCTGGAGCCCAAGCGCAAGGCACAATACAAGGCAAGAGACTGATAAAAGGCGCATGTATGATAAAGAAGCATATTAAAGATTAATTTAATAAAAATTATTGAACTATGCAACACATACTAGTCAATATCAAAATAAAGAAATCTTTCCAACATTTCAATGATGTGCAAAAATCATATCAAAATAATAATTCTATAAAAATGGGATTTTTGACCTATCAAGCTAAGAGGATCTGGTAAACTGATGTTGCATAAATCATTTCTTAGGCGTATAAATTTAGTAAATTAGATGTGACAATAAAAAGCTATGATCAAGTAGACATTAAACATATACAATCATGTTTATTTAGAATCAAAATGAATGCAATTAATGTAATAAGTCAACCATAAATCTATGAATTTGTCAAATATATCATAAAGTCAAACAATATGATCCATTAAATATGATCGTGATATTATACAAAACATTTTAATTTAATGGTCATTAAATAAAGGACGTAAAATGAGAGAGTCTGGGGGCTTGGGCTTGGGCTTGGCCTTTAGTAGGTCGAAGCACTCTTAACTGAGCCTTGACAAGCCTGGGGCTTTTTTGGATACAAGGCACACTTTTAATGTTGATCAACATTCCCACTTTGTTACTTCTTTATCCAAGAAAAAAAAAAATAATGAAACAAAAATTACAAGTACACATACAAGGGTACCAATATTTCTCTAAAAGTGAGTCCAACTCATTGATAGTTTGGCATTCCACTGTCGTAAGGATTTAATTGGTAATATTGTTGAAATAATAAAAAAATGGAAGAAAGACATCCTCAACATCCCCGACTTGCTACTTCTTTATCCCAAAAAAGAAAAAGAAAAAAAATACATTTAATGAAACAAGAATTACAAGTAGACAAGGTTACAAAAATTTCTCTAAAAGTGAGTCTTACTAATTTAATGTTTGACATTCAATTGTTGTCAACAGGCTATCACACATAGAACCTTTGGATTAAATGAGGTTGGAAGGAAAACAAAACACGTGACTTTTGGTGCTCATATATAGCCAAAGAAATTTGCTAATTGTAGAAGTTATACATATATCTTTTTCCAGAATTTCAAGCAAATTGTATAAAACAATAAAATGAAAAAAGTGGACAAGTCCACCGGATAAGATCTCTAAGTGAGAGACCAGGCCCAATTAGAAACCACCACTTATAAATGGGAATACGATACAAAAAAAGCCAAAATAAACCCAAGCCCAGTAACAATTCTCAAGCCGATCTCAAGTCAAGAGGCTTCCTTGGAGGATGCCAGGAGGAGGGGGAGATACCCCAGATGAGCAAAACACGACAAGATTGGGGTGAATCTTTCAAAAACCCACCCATGAGCCTCTCTATGATGGAGGAACAGATTTGGTCCAAAACATGGTTCAGCGAGGAGATCTTGCCTCTGAAAACCCAAGCATTTCGTTTGATTTCCAGTGGTGGGATGACGCATTAAAAGACCTATCAATATTGAACTCATGATGTTGGCTGACTCAGTAGACTTAGTAATATGCTACATACAAATAATTTTCTGGTGTTCTTTTATCAACAAAATCATATAGAACCACCGCCCTGAAAGGTAGAGGAACATGTATATGGTTTATAGATGAAAGGGGTCAGAATTAGTTTGGTTTGGTAAGTGATCGATTGCTAGATTGTAGATACAAAAACTTTTCCGCACTAATGAAGTAATGCAACCCTAAGGTTACCTAGATTCAGATTATTAAGAACAATTTTTTGGGGTATAAATAAAAAATTGTGGAGAATATCGTGGAACGGCTCTTAATAGACACAAGACCAAATCTGAGACTATGTAAAATGCACCTCTAGCCTTGAAAGCTTCATGCTTTGATAGACTAAAAAAAAGGGATATAATAGAGGATGCAGAAAAGTACGTAAAAGTATGAAAGTAAAGAGTAGATTTCAATAATATTGTAATGAGAGCCTGGAATAGTCAGGACTATGCAAATGGCCACATAAGACACTTCCAAAACCCAATTGAACATACGGGAAGAAAGAGAATAATTCAATATAAGATGAATAGAGGGAAGAAGAAGAGTAGAGAGAGGCAGCAAAAACATTTGGAATTTTTTCAATCAACCCAACCATAGTTTTTGGGAATGGGCAAGAAAAAGATAAGCCACGAGATCATCACCCGCGTTTTCCAAACCTCCAGTGCTAAGAACCTATGTAGGTAGAATCAATGCATCATATAACCAACCACACATAGGTGATCCTCAAATGCCACATAAAAAAGCTGATAATATAGTAGCATCAACCTCGGATATGAGAAACACTAAAAATGAGTGTTTGCTAGGTCGGGAGGAATGATAAGCGGATGGGAGAGATATGAGTTGCTCAAGTATTCATGAATATAATTCTTAACAGCACACCAAAAGATTAAAATTTATACTTCAAAATATGTGAAGCAAGAATTTACCATTCCTAATGAGAAAAACATCAGCAAGGACAAACTACTATCTATGTCTCTTACCTTTTCCTTGGAAAAACTGTTAGACAGTGAGGGAGGTGGCATCCAGAGATCCTTTGAATAAGACCTCAATGTTAAACTCTCTTCTGTGTAAAACAAAACATAACAAAATCAGACTAGTTTAATGGGTTTTTTCTGGAAAATTCCTTTGAAGCATGAGTCAGTTGAAGTGGAAATCACAACCAATCACCTAATTCTTCCGTTGCCTCTTTGATACTTTCACTTTCACTATGGCATTTTAATGTCACGAAAAAATAAACATGCATTAGAATACTAAAGCTTATTCACAATCAAATCACCTAAAGAAAGAGAGATAAGAAGATACAAAATTTTCACTGATCAACTGAACAAAGTAATTAGGTGCCAAACCAGTCAATGTCACTTAAATCAACATCTTTGTCGTTTATAACAAACCCGGCTCTCTCAAGCAGCGCCTTAATGTCGTTGACCACCTTTTCTTTTGGCATCTATAAGAAAACATTAAGGGAGTAACTTTGTGGAAGTGTTGGGTCAAAGCTTAAAACATGAGGAAACTGGTAGTAATACGAGTTGAAAGATGACCATTTTCATTCAAAAGGAAAAACAACTAGCATTCACAACACCCCTGTGGTTTGCCTCTTTGACACCCAATTCTTTCATAGTGACACCTCCTCAGATTCGCTCCATTAGACAAAGACACTCCATGAACGCTCTCGCACATGGTAAAATGACCTGAATGCCCTTTTACTAGTGAAGTGACACTTTGAATAGTTAAATTACCAATTAACCCATTCTAACTAATTTTAAATGTCCAAAATAACCTCTTCATCTCAACCACCTACCCACAATGCTGCCACCACCACCACCCCCACCCCCACCCACAGCCACCACCTCTTCTTTCTTCTCTTCCTTCTCTCTCTAAAACACATGCATTGCAATCCTCTGCAATCACTACTCCATGGTCGAACCATCAAGGTCCAGACCACCCTCAATCACCCCCAATTGAAGTCTTCACCATTCAAGATGGCCCCATATAACCCCTTCACTGACAAAACAAATAACTAATGAACCAATGAAGGCAAGTCATGCAATTTCATCAATTTCATTCCACCAAACACCTTCTCTAAAACCTCTCTATGCCTTCCCTTATCTAGAAACGAAAAGTTCTCTCCATAATGTTTATATTAATAAAAATTTCCTCCATTTATGAGGAAAAAAAAAAGTTCTCTAAAAAATGACACCATCTTCACCATCAAAACCTTAAACCAATCACAACCAAAACACGAAAGAAACAAAAATTCTCCAAAAATTGACGCCATCTTCACCATCAAAACCATAAACCAATCACAACCAAGCAACAATCACAAAGCACGGGCAGACGTGGCTTGCCAAAGCCTACATCCACAATGAAATTCTGGCGAAAGCATTCGCTATGCAAAAATCTGGTAGGTACTAGTTTCAACCCCCAAACCCTAGCTCTCGCTCTCGCTCTATTTTCTACAATTTTCAATGTCTATCTATATCCCACTCCAAACCCTAAACGCCCATTATATATCGGGCTACAAGAGGGTACTAAACGGGGCGTAGTTGTGACCCCAGAACCAAACTCAGGCCACAACATCACTGATTCTAAGTAATTGAGTTGTCAATAGTGGTATAGGCTAGGGTTTCAGAGGTGTGTAGTGGTTGGGTGGTTAGAGTGGTGGAGTATGGCAAAGGGAGTGATGGAGGTGGGTGGTTGGAGTGGTGGAGGTGGACTATTGAAAGAGAGAGTGAGAGAGAGAGGAAGGGTGGAGGAGAGAGTGTCCCAATTGAAATGTGTAGAGAGGGATGTGACAGCTGATTGTGGTGGTGGAGGAGAGAGAGACATAACTGAGGTGTATAGGGGTATTTTTGTCTGCCTCGGTTTCGAGGTCGAGCAAGGCTTCAATGGCGGACGAGTTGGACTCAACTGAGTTGGTGTTCGGGTTGGTATGTGATTGATGCGAAGCTTGTTTTAATGGTGGTAGTGGGGTGAAGGTTGCGGTGGTGAGTGGGGAGAGAGAAAAGGAAGGGGCAGGTGGTGGTGGGTGGCGATGGTGGGTGGTGTTGGAAATGGTCGGTGGTGGGGTAAGCTGAAAATGTGAGAAAAGCATTAAAAATGGGTCTTTTGGTTTTAGGGGCAAAGTAGTCTTTTGGTTTCTCTATTTTTTATAATAAAAAAGCATTAAAAAATTAGGGCAAATTAGGCATTTCACACATTTTTTATGTGGAAAAGCTAACGGGAGGTGTGACTTTCAAAAACATTGCCAAGTTCTATCTGGGTGACAAAGGCAAACCACATGGGGGTCAGTGTAATTTTTAATAGGTATAAATATCATAACCAAATAAATCTCTACACAATTTCTGGAAGAAAAGAAAAAAAGTTTAAATCTATGCATGTTGCAAACAATATGAGAATTACAATAAATCGCAAGAAACAAGCACAAAAACCATAAAAAACACGGATCATAACAACTTACTTCACTCTGTACTAACTGCCTGTATTTTTCAAGAGCAACACCAGCCTTCTCAAACACTTTGAGCAACAATATTCCCCGCGTCATCGCTGCCTTAATATCGTTAAGCGACCGAACCAACTTACCAATCTTATTAATTCCGAGCAACTTGCTTTCATCTTGAGTTAGTCCTACAATCTCTTCAACCAACTTATCATTCTTGTGACTTCCGATCAATTTGATTTCATCTTCAGTTAGTCGTACAATCTCTTCAATGATGCTTTTGCGTATTGACATGCTCAAAGGGATTAACTTTTCTCGAGCAACCATCAGTAGAGTAGCCATCTCAATAAGTTCTCCCTCCATAGCATAATGAATAAATATTTTATCAACCTCCTTTGTGTTCCATGCCAGCAACCTATTAATTTCTAATGGTACTTTCTGCCATATTTAACCATAATAAGCAACAAAAAAAAAAAAAGAAAAAGATCAGACCTCTCAACCCATTCAAATGTATAGAAAGTAAACACTATTTGTAATACACATAAATTTTGTCTAAACAAACCATTTGAGGCAGACAAAGAACAACGATCAATTTGAAGATAGATTGTTTTGGGGTCCAATCAATCAAGGATCGATGATAACTGCATCAGCCACATTAAAAATCCAATCAAAAAAAAGGGAAAAGAATTAAGTAGTTAAGAATGATGTATTAAACCTTGATCTAAGTTCATATTATAGGCCCCATGAAAGAAATAAGAAAGAATAATTTTATATTATAATATCTGTCTTCTACCTTACTGTTTCAAGTGATACGTTGAGAGGAAACAAGTCGCCCCTAAATTTACCCTCTATGGTTCTGACATCAGTCTGAGCTCCATGGCTAAGCAATGTCGCAATCATTTCATATGATAAACCATTAGCTGCTAAATGCAATGGATATAATCCATCGTTAAAGGGAATATTGAGATCAGCGATGAAACCGGTCTCCCCTCCGAGAAAAGCGATGGCACAATCTATTACGCCAGACTCACAAATTCCATGCAAAATTTTTGGTGGGCAATATTTAGCTTGATAATCAGATGATTCCTTCTTTCTAACTTCTTCTGTTTTTGGTACTTTTCTTTGAAATAGCTCCTTCATAAAAGAGAGAAATAGAGGTTTGTCATCATAACAAAGAATCTCTGCCAATGTTGCTATGACATCATGACCAATTTCTTCCTTTAGATGAGCATATCCAACCTGTCATTATTTGAACAACACTAACATCAACACGTGAAGATGACCACAATAAGATAATAGCGCATATCATTAAAATAAATGCACGAACAGTAATATAAGTACGAAAAAGGGAGCCCCGATCTTCTGCTGTAATCTCCCTTGCTGTAGTGGTGCCATAGGGTTTTTCAACACAATTACACCTGTTTTCAACATATTTACATCTACTTATTTTTATTGCGTTGAGAAACAGATGTAATAAGTTGAAAAATCACAGTTGAAAAGCAGATGTAATATGTTGAAAAACCATCAGCACAGCAAAGGATATTATAGGTGAGGATCCAAGTGCATGAAAAGGGAATGTGAATGTATTCAAGTTTAAGTAGACACCTCAGACATCCTTGCCCCAATTACAGTATCTGCTCTGAATTCTGACCTCCTTAAAAGGCGCTCCAATATAAGAATAACCTTCAGAAGGAAAAAAAACATAATTGATTGAAAGTTTTTCAAATAAACAACTAAATCACAATGGGGAGGCAATCAAATAATTATATACCGTACTTCAATTTAGTTTATAGTGCAAAATAACTACTTGAGAATGGAATCCCAACATTCATCGGATACACAAAATGGTTTATGCACTTGTGTATAAAAAACATAAAAGCTCGCATACGAAACAAGAGGGCATTACTGGCCTAGTTGATAGAGCACCCAGCTCCTCGAGCAGGTACGCCCGAGTTCAAATCCCCACTCCACCTAGTTTGCGAAGGAAAAAAAAAAAAAACAAAACAAAACAAAACATATGAAACAAGACAAACTTAATCCCTACTACTCGCGCCTGTTAAGGCTACATAAGCCGACGCTATGTATTTGCTAGAATCAGATCTATACCAAATCAAACTAGGTAGAGAATATCTGAATCCAAAAGCACAAATATTTCCAACAGAGATGAAATGCAAATTGTTCCAATATAGTCAAGGGCATAAAACTTCTGCACAATAATCATACAATTTCGGAAAAAAATTTGAAACAAATACAGGCCAACGAAGAGATATCAGAGACCAAAGGAACGTCGATATGGGTGTGGCGGACTAGTTTCGATCTAGTGGCAGTGGTGCTCATAAAATTTCAGCACAACAATCATATAATTTTGGGAAAAAAATAAAGAATACTGCCCAACGAAGAGATATCAGAGACCAAAGGGGACACCAATATGGGTGTGGGGGACTAGGTTCGATCTAGTGGTTGTGGTGTAGTGGGAGCAAAGAAACCCACCTGGTGCACAAGGTCGATCGCTCTTGGGGGAGAGGCACGTGAAATAGAAGCTGGGGATGTAAGTTTTGAAATAACATAAATAGCCACCTTTTATGAGCTGACATGCTCTAATGAGGTTATTTTTTCCAACAAAAAAATTTGGGGGAGAAATCGTCCCCTTCAAGGCGGGGAGGTCAGCTTTACAGTATATATCTGATTCATTGTTGGGGTTGATAAGTCGGGTTTAAATATAGTTCAGGACCGCCTCAGGTTAGGTTTCGAATTGATCCACACAGTAACTCGAGCTCCAATCAAAATGAAATGGGGTTGTTACTTTTCAAACCAAGCTCGAACCAAATTGCAAGTTAAACAGCCCGCCCAAAAACTTTGGAACTAGGCTCGAGTTTGTCCGAATTGGGCCCACCCAATTTGCACCCCTAGCTATATTTACTATGGAAAGCTAAGTGACCTCACTGAAATTTCGATATTTGATGGGTAATTAGTTGGTTATTACCAAGTGAAACTAATAGAGAGAGTGCTCTTACTACTACCTTTCTTCTTCTTGATTAATTACAACGTACATAGGGATGGCAAAGGGGGCATGAGTACCTTCCCCCTCCGGTTTAAGTCTCCCCACCAAAAACTGTTTAGCAAAACCCCCCTCACCGTCCCATTTAAGTTTCACTGCCCCGCCCCATTTAAGTTTCAATTTACTGATACACTAACATATAATCAAAATGAATGATCATCAATTTACTGAGACACTAACATATAATCAAAATGAATGATCAAGTATGCGTTCTGTGAGCTTAAATGATAAATGAACTACTGTAAAAATAAAAAATTATATGTGTTCTGTTAAAGTAATTTTATGAGATCAGAATCATTAGATCTGTGTAAAAGATAAAGAAATTTCATAAGATCGGATGTATATTCTGTTCGAATTGAACCCTTAAATCATAATCAAACACAAATATCACCATCTGTAATGTAAAATAAAGATTTACCCATTTTTCAAGTAATAAAATGGTGTAAATCTATACGCACATTAGACATATAATATATAGACAGCCACTGTCCACCCACAGAGTAAGTTCACTAAGTTTTACTTTATGTATACCACACGCAGCAAGTTCACTAAGTTGTACTTTGGGTAAACCACGAACAGCAATGGATCTTTAACTTTGAAGAAAAAAAGAAAAAGAGAGAGAACTGACCGTAGGCCGTAAAACCAGTGGGTGGTCGGTGAGGTTGACGAAGCCGGCTTCGGTGGCAGGCCGTGAGGGATGAGAGAGTGAGGGTTTTTGGTAATCTCTAGAACGGCTGTACTATGAAGCGATGAGATATTTTTTTTTTTTTTTTTTTTGGTAAAGTACACAAACACCCCGAGGTTTTGGCACAAAGACAAGTATATATAAGTTAGTTTGTTTTTGGACAATCACATCCCCTGGTCAAAAACTTGATTCAAACCGCTCCTTAAATTTTGTAAAAAGTCAAGATTGCCCTTTAATATTTTATTAATTTAAATTATAAAATATCAAAAATTTTAAATGACTCTTTTACCCTTATACATTTATTACACCAATACATACATATATATATATATATATATATATATTTATATATCTATATGTATATTGTAAACCTATCAAACCCAAACCCGGCCATGACACCACTTCCACACCTTCCAACCACCGGTCGACGAGTGGTTCACCATCTCCTTCATTCACATGTTGGTTACTCCTTTCACCGACACCTTCATCCTCCAAGAACCCCTCAAATAACTCCTCAGCCGCCGCCGCAAGTTTCTGGCGTGAAGCGGACAGATCAAGGATTGACAGAGACATATTCCCTACGCCAGCGTCTTTGATTCTTGACGGCGGCAGAGAGTTGATGTTTGAGTGTAGAGCGAAGCTTTGAGTATAGAGTGATTGCTGAAGGAGGGGCGTTTGGCTTGACTCTACAATTGGTTCCGTCATCTTTAGATCTGGATGATGTGGACAGTTGAGGATGAAATCGGTGGTTTCGCCGCCGATAAGGGTTGCTATGAGCTCTATATGTGAGAGAAAGCTTGTAGATGTGGCCGTTGTTGGTAGGAGGTGAAGCTGGAGCAAATGTGGCTTCGGTCGGTTTCTAAGGCCGAGAAATTGAGGTGGTTAGCACCGGCGGCAGTTGGTGAACACCACAACCTCGTCTGTAACTTACAAGGGTTTCATGAAGGAGGTGGTGAACCCTAGCGACAGATGGTGAGCTTCGAAAAAACATCGCTGAAGAAGGAGCGCGTGAAGGTGTGATGATGATGAGCGTGAAAGGTGAACCCCGACGGCTGAGGTGTGATGATGTGACGGCGGTGGCGGAGTTTGAGGTGTGATGTTGGCGACGGCGGAGGGGTGATGTTGATGGCAGTGGCTATATATGCAGTGTGTGTATATACACATACAGATGCTTCTGGGTTTCACCGACAATTTCTTTCGCCGATGCTTCTGGGTTTCGCCGCCACTGTCGCAGTCATCGCTGCCGCCACCCCCACTGTCGCAGCCATCACCACAATCTCTCTCCTATCTTCTTCCTCTCTCTCCTTTTCACCTCATCTCTTCAACTAAGGCCGCCCCTCTCTTCCCCCTCTCTCTACACCCACCACTACAACCGCAGCCACAACCACCATCCATCTGATCTCCCTTCTCTCTCCTCTGGTGAACTGTATAAGGCGGGTTCGGCTTTGGGTTTGGGTTTGGGTTCAATTAAAGGGTATTTAAGTCAATTAAAATGTTAATTTTATTTGAAAGGGTAATAAGGTCAATTCACCATCTTCAGGGTCTCTTTGTCCATTTTTCAAACTTGAAGGGGTGTCATTGTCCAAAAACAGACTAACTTTCCTCTGCTTGTCCTTTCCTCAAACCTCAGGGGGTGTCAATGTACTTTACCCTTTTTTTTTTTTTTTTTGGGTTAATTACAATGACACCCCCCGAGATTTACCTTAATTACAGCCATATATAACTTAGTGTTTTTTTGAACAATGACACCCCTTCTTAGTTTTATATCAAATTTTAGCAGCGAAATGTCTACATTGCCCTTCAATATTTAATTAATATATGATGAGAAAATATTAGAATCGTAAAATGACTAAAATGCCCATCTTAGAAAACCCAACCACCACAACTCTCTCTATCGTTTCTCTCTCTAACCTTTCAACTCCTTTGTCATCACTCTCTTAACCCTTGCAGATCTCACCTCTCTTATGTAACCCTAGCCTTATTTTCAACCGACATAATCTCTTTATACCCTTACCCTTAGATCATGACAAACCCTCTCGAAATCCGACTGACTTACGACGACGACCAGCACCACCGACCATCGTCGACGATCAAATTGGCAGCGATGATCTTGACGTCTTGGCCAAGGTGATCATGGCTTTGGTGTTGAAGAGATCATGGTCGTTGATCTGATGAAAACGATCATCCCGATTGCCCGCATAGGTGGTCTCCTCGAGCTCTCGATGAACCTCTCATGTCATCTCGTTGGATGCATTTTCTCAAGATCAAGGCATGTTTTTGCGAAATCATTCCACAGCTAGCTCATAGAACTCCAATGAGAAGGAAGTCGCAGTAGGGGAATTCTCAAGTACGACAATTAGGAATTCTTCGTAGAATTAACAAACCTGCCTAGCAAGTTAAACCCAAGTTTGGTTTGATACGTTTTTCACCAAAACTAGGTGTGTGACCCCAAATGCCTCATGGGTTTCTTCGATTGGTCTCGTCTCTAAATGGGTATCCCTTAATTCTTGCGATTTTACTCTACAATTTGTATTTATTTACGCATACAAATTAAGTTATTGAGTGAATGATTGAAAGCGATAAGCCCGTTTCGGTAATTTTGGATTCAATTGTTACTTGTTATGCGAATCTTGTGTTTATAATGGAGGTAATGGTTGGGGTTCTAGAGAGGTGAAAGCTGAAGTGGGTTTATTGAGATAAACATGTGATCATAGATGTATAATTTATGTGTGGAGAGCATTTAGCATAAGGATCTAAAGCAAGAAAATGCAAAAAAAGAGAATGGGAGAATCTTCCTTGATCGTCGCCATCATAGGATTCTCACCACCATGTCTGTTCTGTGTCGCCAGGATCTCGTCGCCTTGTCTACGTTGGAATTGCATCACCACACGTCGCTGCTAGTTGCCAAACAAGATCTGGTCGACGTCAAAATCGCTTCACCATCATGCCAACACCACTGCTACTCAATGTTGCCAGAGCATCGTCACCGTTGCTGGAGCCCGAGAGAGAGAGAGTTGCAGAAGTATATGGGTTTCTCGTTGAAATGATAGAGTTTAGACTTTATTAACTAATCGTTTGATATGGATGAATTGTTTAGAGTGAGTGAATGTAAGTCACCGAGCTCGGCAAGGACAGTTCCGGTGAATTTAGTATCTGAAATGATGAGTCTTGAATCAATGAAGATAAATTCAAATTCAATGGAAGTTGTAAAGGGACTGATTGGATATTGATTTTGGATTGTGGGTGGAGAGAGATAGGGAAGATGAGGGTATTTTTGTCCTAAAATGGCCTTTTGATACATTTTCTTATTTTAATTAAAAAATTAGGGTAATTCAAAAGCTAAAGGGTAATAACGTCATTTTAACTTGTGTCAGACCTGGCAGGAGTGTCTTTGTTAAGTTTATGAAATCTGAAGGGGTCTCATTGTTCAAAAAGAGGTTAACTTGTATATGGCTGTAATTAAGGCAAATCTCAGGGGGTGTCATTGTAATTAACCCCCTTTTTTTTTATGGAGAAACAATGAGATATTGGTTCCTGTTAATCTATTACCATATCGTGTGTGTGCATATATATATATATACACTATTTTATTTTATTTTTAAATACAAAAATAAAATTTTAATGAATTATAAATATGTTATAATTTCATTAGTTGAGTTTAAGCTTTTGGAATACGCACTTAATAAAGTTATAAATAGCCATTTGAATATCATTGAAATAAGTATATTAAACATGCAAAGGAAAACCAGAAAAATGGAGTTTATATGTTTTAACTTGAAACTCAAGACTTGCAATTTATTCTTCAATCTTTGTTCTAATCAACTTTCTTTCTATCACGATCGCTTCTTTCCTTTTAACATCTTTAGTTTATCAGGTAATTATAATTCTAAATTTCTTGTTTTCAAATTCAATATTTTTGTTTGTTTTTTGTTTGTTTCATTGTAGATTTTTTCTATTTTGTGGGAATTTTGAGGTCAAACTTTTAATTCCTATCTCTTTATTCTAGTTCTAAAGTATAATGAACTTGTTATACCAGCTCTTTTCCACATATGATTGCATACATATATTTTCTCATCATTTAAATATATTTTTGTTAAATGTCATTTCTTGCTATAAATTATAATTGAGAAAGTGTGTACTTCTATCTCAAAATGTCTTCTTTTGATTTGGAAATCATCTGCATCCAATCCAATCAAATGAATATATGCTTAATCTTGAGCTAAGAGCAACCAAGAATATAAATGGTATATTTTGAGGTGTTTGTTTGTTTGTTTCTTTCTTTCCAACTCTTTTTTTTTCTTCTAGTTTTTTATTTATTACTTAACATATTTTCTCTAGATTTATGAAGTTAATATTTACTTGTGATTCATAGAGTTAATATACAGATACATATACATATTGTGAATTATCCAAATTAATTTTTTTATTATTTTTTAAAAAATTTATCTAAAATTCATTTATAATATAAAATGTTTATTTTATCACGTGCATCGCACGTGGATTACACTAGTATATATATACATATGGGCAAATTACACAGACTTCCTTTGGGTTCTGGAAAGACCATTTGGCATTTATTCCTTTTACCACTCCCTCATATTGTGCTCAAAGACACTTATATTGTTTTATTTTCGATACCAGATTTTATAAAAAAATAATTTTTTCCTTTTCTTCTATAAAATAAAAATTATATTAATTTTTCTTAAAGTTTGTCATAATTACCGAACCTTCCTTAAATTTTAAAAATTACTCTAACCCCCTAAAAACAAATCTTGTGACATGGGCCTCCCTTTTTAACAATCACCACTAGTCCATGACGAAAATTCAATTTGCTTTCAAACATTTTGAATTCTATCTCACTCCTAATCTATACATACATCCATATACCTATGTAAATCACCTCTTAAAATTCAAGTATACCTGCTCCAACACCATATTGCCACCTAACAACACAATGTTATAATTAATCATAAATAATGGGTGTTGTCTGTAATGAGGTGACTTATGAAGTTGAAATTATAGAAAAGAAAGAAAAAAAAATATTTGTTGCAAGGGTGG